GAGGGCAGAGGTGAGCGGGAGGTGCTGTGGGGGTCCGGCAATGCCGGCGAGGGTGGCCAAGCCGGTGAGGGCACACCGCAGAGCAGTGGGCAGCGGTGGGGTGTGCGCAGTAAGGGGGGTGAAGCTTAGAAACTTGATGCTGAATGAAAAAGAAAAAGCAAGAGAATAGACTGAGTTGTTCAAATTAAAACATATGTCCACAAAACAATAACACCACCTTGCCCGAACACAGAAGACACTCAGGAAGCACATTAGAGTGACTGTTCGGGGCTGGGGGTGGGGTATGGTGATATATGGGAATAAATGAAACGAGAGGCCTCCCAGCGAGCAGTGGTGGCAATGGGTCACGTACTGGGGGCGTCATGGACTCACCTTCCGCGCCCGAGCTTAGAAATGCTGGCGAGAATGGCACGGCAGGGAAGGTGGCTGGGACGTACTGAGAACTTCCGGCTTCGCTCACAGTCCACGCTGAGCAGCAGACCAGCCCAGGCCCCCAGGGAACACGGCTCTCTGCATAGGCTCCACCTGAGCGGGTGCTGGGGGGCAGGCAGAGGAGGTGACACAGTCTGTACCCTCAAGAAGCCCACAGGTCAGCACGGAAACCGGTGGAGACTCTCAAGCTGGGCCTGGGGCTTCTCGGTGTGTTCTAGAGGCTGCCCAGAGCCAAGGAGGAAGAAGGAAGAGGGTTGAGTGGGAGCATCTTGCTTTTTCCACGGACACCCCGGTCCCTGCTGTCTATAAGGCCCTGTCGGGGAGGTCAGGCCACTGGCCGCACACACACCAGGCTCCGTGCTCCTGCTCAGGCCTGTGTGGCAGGGAGTGGGGTCTCGGGGGAGGGCTGCAACAAATCCTGTCAGGGAAGGGGGGCTGCAGAGGGGGGCAGCTGGCGCTCTGGGCGTGGAAAGGCCCCTCAGGCTCTGAGAATGCAAGGTGCTTGGTGAGGCTGCCGAATGTCCGTCCACTCGATGTGCCCTGCGGGGCAGCTCCACCAGGCCTCCCCAGCTGGGGGCTCCAGGCTCAGTGCTGCCCAGGCTGAGACCCGTGGGGCATGGGTCCGTCTACAAAGCGGCTCTGCCTGGGAGGCTCTTTGGAAGACAGTCGCATAAACCAAACCTAAGACAAGGCTTCAGCTGTCATTGCTATCGGGGACCACACACAGAGGGGCTGGGGCTCGTGGATGGCACTGAGTCTCTCTGGATTGAAATTTCTCCCATAGTTTGTCTGCATCCCTCCGGTTGCCTGTTCAGACTCGGGGGAAAGTGTGCTAACCATACCTCGTGAGCGAGTCTCCATTTGAATGGTCATAAATTCCAAGCTGGTGGCTGATGAGTGGAGGTGTGGAGGTCTTGCGTTGGGCTTAGACTCCCTGCCACACACACGCGTGAACACAGATGGATGCATACAAGTGTGGGTGCCGGGGGCAGGGGCGCTGCTTGGAGCTAGTCCAGCCCCCGATGCCCTTGTTTTTACAGATCCAGACACTGAGCCCAGAGAGGGAAGGGTTTATCGCAGGACCCCTGACCTCCTGGACATACCCAGGCCTCTCCAGGGTGAGTGGCTCACAAAAAAATCAGACCACCTACAAGCAAGCGTCTGGTCATCCATTGGGCTGAGGGAGGTACCACCAACCCATTTAATGTGCCCCAAATGGCTGTTGTTTATTATTTAAAAATAATATTTTAAGTAGTAACTCTAAGAATCCCCTTGCATCTCTGTATTATTTCCCTGCTTACCAAGCCCCTACACATCTCCTTCTTCCTACAACAGTCCCTTGACGGAGCTCTCATTACCAGTGTCTCGAAGTGGAGAAAGAGGTAGCTGTGGTTGTCCAAGATTGCCCAGGTGGTGAGGGCTGACCATGGATTCAAAGGCAGTCCTCTCTTAGGTGTGAGGTTCTCTCTACCACACCATTGCTTGGAAATTTCTGCTTGCCCTGCCAAATTCCACTTGCAGCCAAACCTCTGGGCTTTGCATGTGGAGATCAGCCAGAAAGTCTTTAAATGAACCGAGGTTTGCCCTTAGTCAAAGCAGGTGCTGTGAGGCACAGCGAACTTGCCCCCTTGGCCCACAAACTGCTGCTGTGCTCTGGCTGGAGGCCCACTGACCCAGCACACCGCTCTGGGGCCAGAGGAGATGCTGTGGGGAGGGATGCGTAGTTAGGCTTTGACACACATACAAGAATAAATCTCTCCGCCAAGCCTGCAAGCTTTCCAAAGGCCATTATCATTTGTGTACACACACAAGATGACAGAAACGAAAGCAGAGGCTAGAGATGCTATTATTAGGTCACTTTTATTCAGAGAACTAGGGCATCCATAGGGAAAGTTGAAAACCCAGAGCCTACTTAGCCGAGATTATGTTTTCTTACAGGTGATGGTAACCATGGTCAACATGAGCTGTAGAGTAGCCAGGACGATACTTGCCTGTAACTGGGGGGGTGGGGGGGGGTTGGGGGGGAGAGGCAGATGGCGGTGGCTACAATTTTATAGCATTTATGATTACAAAAGTAATTAATATTCAGAAATATCGAAATAAATACATAGGAAGATAGAAAGCACCTTAATCCTTCCTAGTACCCAGAAATGTTCTTTTCCGACTTCTGTTCCACTCATTCCTATAGGCTTATGCAATGCAGTGAAAGTTTTCATCAGGCAAAGGAAACACAGCACAATTAGTCATGTTTGCACTGCATCAATTATAACAGGATTCCAATGAGGAACCAGCCATCTAAGAGCTGTCCAGGAGTTGTACCCATTGGCTTTGCTGGGCCGGCTGGATTTCCTGTTGAGTGTCATCTTGCTGTTCACCAAGGCGACTGGTGACAGAGGCGGGGAAGCTCCTGAGGAGGTGATCTCAATGGTAAAGAAGGAGATGTGGTTTGGCTTTTGCCCATTTTGATCAACAAGTTCATTGTTCTTTCTTTGCACTAACAAAGGACTCTCGTAGCTACAGAAATCCTTGAATTATTGAAATTAATGTTGGAAAAATACCTTTCTTATTATGAGTCTAAAATTCTCTAGCATTTTACCCACTTTTTCACATTGAAAAAAAATTGTTTTTAATGTGGTGGTTGAAACATACGGTTTTTAAGGATTTGAACTAATTAAATACAGTGGAACAGGCTCTCTTTTTACATATACACATACACACAAATATGTAATATTAAAAATAAAGTGAGGATCATACTGTACATATAATGTTATATTTTGCCTTCTTTACTTAACAGCACATAATAAGCATTTCCCAAGGCATTAAATATTCTTGAAAAATACGATTTTAATGCCTAAACTATTTTATTATATGGGTGTAACATAATTTATCCACTCCCCTAGTCAATATTTTAAGTTGATCCCAGTTGTTTTCTATTTAAAACAACTGGTGTGATAATGACTCTCTATCCACATCTCTAGTTATTTTCTTACAATAAACTTGAAAATTGGAATCACCTTCATGAGGTTTTCGTGAGCATTATCAGTTGTGCATAAATCCCCCAATACAATGCTCGGTGCACAGCAGGTGTTCAGCAACTAGCAGCTATAAATAGGAAATCAAGTACCTAGAAGAACAGACTAATTCTGCCGGAGCAGAGGCAGGAGAGAGACGTGCTCCGTTTGGTCAGGGGATGATGTAACCGGACAGTTTGGAGTAAGGAGGAAAGGGGCTGTTCTTGCTTCTAGGAGATGATTCTCTAGTGACCCCGATATGACCCGGCTGCCAGCCCCGTCCCCATGGCCGGGAGCACGCTAAGCTCTGTCATGTGGATGGTTGGCGGGGGGAGGGGGGAGCTCTGAATAACACTGACTGCACTCTTGATTCAGAACCTCCAGGTAGCCATAAACTGTGATCAGAGAAGAAACAACATAATCATTGTGTTCTCAAAGCTTGTTTATTAGCTATTCTCACTCATGGTGAAGAGAAATAAAAAAGTGAATGAAATGGAAATCAAAGGAGATGAAAATCCAACCACAGTTCTTCCCTGAGGACCTCTGCTGAACTAGACAAAATGCACCGTCAGGGGCTTCGTGTCTGCATCTTACAAGGGAACTCATTCAGAGAAGAACGTAATTTCTTAGAAGGAACAGGGTCTAATATGATGCAGTAAGAAAAATCACGGGATGATGTTTTAAACAGAGACTGAATGCCTATCAGTCTATGAGCGACCCCCCTTCGGAGCCACCCGGTTATGTGCAGAAACTGAGGGGCTCCTCTTTGGAATGCATCTTCTCCATCCAGACGACTCTATCTCCTTTCCCTGGGGGTGGCCGAGCTCTGTTCTTTGATGGAGGATCTGACTTCCGAGCACCGCCTGGTCACCTGAAGCCGGCTGGGATAAAGGAGGGATAATGAGGTTCTGGGATGCGGCTGGGAGCGGGAAGCTGGGGAAGCTACAGTAATGAGGCCGGTTTCTCAGGTGGGCGGCGGCCGGCCCTGCAGGCCCTGCCCGAGCCGGTGGTGACCTTCACACCCGACCGGGCAATGTGGGCGTGGTGGGAACAAGCACACAGCCTCCTACCGGTGCACGTGGGGAAGGTGGGCATTCACTGGATGCTTCAACTTGGCGCTGGCTGTGAAAACCCTGGCTCGCTCGTTCGGCGCTCCCTGGGAGCCCTAGCAGTACTGTTTGTTCTTTCTGGCAAAAGGGAAGCTTGTCAATTTAAAATAAATTTGTATTTGGTCTAAGAAATGCCGGTACTTGAAAGGATTTCCATTGTTTGGGGGCTGAGGGCACGAAGGGCCATTTCCTTTCTTCTCTTTACCCGCCTGTGTCCGAGCCCCCTGGAAGATGTCTGTGTGTTGGCCCTCCACCATGCCCGGCCCCCCGCAGAGAAACGGCCCCGAGCACCAGCAACGCATAGGCCAGTCCTCCCTGGGCGGGACAGCGGCAGCACCTTGTCCGGGAGCACATCCCCACGGAGGTTCGGACGCCAGCCTGGGGCCGGTAACAGGGGTGCCCCTTGGGCTCCCCCGGACACCCAAGGGCACGGCAGACGGGGATGGACCTAGGCGTCCGGGATGGGGGTGTTGCAGTTCCCATGGTAGATCTTCACGTGGCCCTCACACCGGAAGTAAGCCTCAAAGACGTCACTGTAGCCGTGGTCCCTCCACCAGGTGCAAAGCTGCCGGTTCCAGGTGCAGTCCAGCACGTGGAAGAGCTCGGGGTGCTCCATGCCGATCATGGTGAAGAAGTCCTGGTCCCCGAGGTGGCCGCGGAAGCGGTACTTGTCGGCCAGCCGCTGCACCTGGGCCGGCTCCAGCAGGCGGCTGTAGAGGGCCGACTGGCGCATGGCCTCCAGGTTCAGCAGCATCACTCCGCTGTTGAAGCCCGGCAGCCCCTCGGGGGGAGGGTTCCCAACCCGCGTCTTGGGGTTCTCGTGGCGGAACTGCCAGAATGTGTGCCTGGGAAGGGGAAAGAGAGCAGATTTCACTGGGTTTGTGCGGGTAAAACAGTCTGCCGGCCCTATTTTCCTGGGTCTTCACAACCAGCCTGGAGAGAGAGGCCATTTTCACTCCAGTTTTACTGCTCTGAGAACTGGGAGGTTCTTAGGTTCAGAATCGGCACCACACCACCAGAAAGTGGCACAACTGCACTCAGACCCAGGCTTCCTGACTCCAAGCCTCACGGTCTTCCCATAGCCTCTGCTCCTTCAGGAATGCAACATTGCTAACGTTTGTATAGGACTCAGCAAGCAGCGGGCACTGCACAAAATCAGCTTATTTCCTCCCCACCACAGCCTATGAGATGGGTGCTCTCTGGGATGGTCTGTCACTTCCCAGCAGAGGAGAATGATGCACAGAGAGGTTCTACAGCTTGCCTGAGGTCACACAGCTAGTGAGTATGCAGCTGCAGAACCAGGGACTAAACCCAGGCATCTGGCTCCAGAGTCTACTTTTTATTTTTTTTTAAGATTTTATTTATTTATTTGAGAGAGAGAGAATGAGAGACAGAGAGCACGAGAGGGAAGAGGGTCAGAGGGAGAAGCAGACTCCCCGCTGAGCAGGGAGCCCGATGCGGGACTTGATCCCAGGACTCCAGGATCATGACCCGAGCTGAAGGCAGTCACTTAACCAACTGAGCCACCCAGGCACCCCAGAGTCTACTTTTTAAGATGGCAACAATCCTGGCAGAACTTTCTATCCCCTTGTCTTTGTGATCTTTTTTTTTTTTTTAAAGATTTTATTTATTTATTTGACAGAGAGAGAGCAAGCAGGCAGAGGGAGAGGGAGAAGCAGGCTCCCCGCTGAGCAGGGAGCCCGACATGGGGCTCGATCCCAGGACCCTGGGATCATGACCTGAGCCGAAGGCAGATGCTTAACCAACTGAGCCACCCAGGCGCTCCTGTCTTTGTGATCTTGAAAAGGAGAGGAGAGAGGTGGGGGAAGTGCTTCTGAGCAGTGATCTGGTAAAGCAGTAGAAAGCTACATGCAGGCTAAAATAAACTGGGTTTCTGCTTTAGAACAAGCTTCATTTATTAAGGCCCAAGCCTCGCACTTCTGAAAGGCTGGACAGGGGTTGGAGGCCTGAAACACAGCTCAGGGCCCACACATGTGGGTTAGAGTGAAAAGCAGCTGGGGAACAGCCAGGTAGAATTATGGCTATTTTAGAGGGAACGTCTCCTCAGTCTTCTCTCAAGGCAGATATAGAAATCTGATCTAGGTCTACAGTTCATGGGGTGTTAGCGCCAGAAGGACCCTTCTAGGTCCTCTATCCAAATGCTTCCATTTGGAGAAGGGGAGACAGATCCAGAAACCTCCTTGTGGGTGACATGGTCAGAGCGCCAGCCACTCCGTTCTCCAACCTCCTTAAGCTCCTGTGCAAGTTCCCGTGCACGCTGCCGGGGTGGGCAGCGGCAGGACGCAGAGGGGGACCTGGGCTCCATGTCCCCAGAGGAGCCTGCGGCCTGCAGGACGGCAGGGAGCTGGCAGGCCCTTTGTTGTGGGCAAGGGGTAGGAGCGTAGTCCACATTACACCACATCCCACCTATTTTTACCAGCTCTGCCCCTTCCCTCGACAGTCCTCGGGATGGGGGATGCATCGGGGCAAGCCAAGTCTGCCCCCAGCCTGCAAGTGCCACCCCCTGAGCCTCCCAGAGGTCACTCCCCCGACCAGTCACAGGGCAGGATCTGTGTGGTGAAGCGGCCGGTGCAGGGGAAAGAAGAACAGACCCCACGGCAGCCACAGAGATCCATTTCCCAGTTCCCACACACTGCTCTGTGTCTGGGAATCAGAGAGACCTGCCTTGAGGTCTCGTGTATCACAAAGGGCACCAAGAGTCTGATCCTGGTGAGGGGAAAAGCATTCCCTCTGGACATTCTGACAAGCGGAATAACAGGTCTATTGTTTGAATTTTGCTGTAATTGGACTGTGAGTGGAACAAGCTCTGGCGCCTGCTTGGTGATAACAACCTTGGCAAAAATAAGCTTCCAGAGCACATGGAGATGCTGGAGCCCTTCTAACCACAAAAGCCTGCGGTGATGGGATCACAGGGGCACTGGAATGTGCTCTGGCAACTCGGTCCATTTTACCATATTTCTTCCAAATGGTTACCTTCGGGTCCAGGTTGCAAGCCACTAACATTCTACCAAATGAATCTGGGCCACCACAGCATGGGAGAGGAGGAGCCCTCCAACCAGGAGGAGGGGAGCTTTACTGCCAAGGCAAGGATTCAGCCTTCAGGGAGAGAGGAGAAGCATTCACCAGGGAGGGGAGGCGTGGGAGAGGAGACGTCTGGAGTAGACGGGCAGGGCTGGGCCTGTGGAGGCCCTGGACACCTCGAGGCCATCATCCTCCTTCCATTCTTCCCCCAGGTCTCGTCTCTCCCCTTCCCAGAGGACCAGGGGAGGGCGAACAGAGCGCAGGCTGGTGGTCAAGTCCGCCCCCCCGCCCCGATCTGTGAGGCCTCTCCAGAACCTCAGCACCTCGCATGGCGCCCACACGGCGGGGCCTTCAGAACATGAAATTACTTGACAAGGAATGATGGAAAGGTCGGTGTGGCTCAGGCTACATAGCCTTCGGTGTCATCTGGAACCAGGGCGGGCAGGAAAATGTCAGGACACAAAGCTGCAGCTGCAGATGGAAAGCGAGCCGCTGCACCGAGCACTCGAGCCCCCAGGGCCACATTTCTCCGGCGTGGTGAGGGGCCAGGGACCACGAGAGGGTGCTCAGGGCTTTTCAAAGGGCTCAGTACAGTCTCTACTCTTGAGCAAGCTAGGGAGGGGAGAAGTCATCCACAGCCCTGCGGTACTCCACAGAGCTTCCCCGTCTCTACCAGACTGACCTGCTACCGGACTTGCTGGGCTCAGGACAGCAGGGCCAGAGGCAGAGAGAGAAAAAAGAGCATCCTTCCAGGTGGAGCCCATAACGCAGGTGGCTCTTTGGGAAGCTCATGCCTAGCCCTGCCGGTGCTATCAGCACAAAGAGGCATTTTATAACAAAGCCAGAGAGAACCAGGTCTGGGACATCAGCACATTATGATTTGTAAGGAGAAGCGAAGGAGGGACAGAAAATTGGAAACGCAAGCTGCCCAGGATGTCTGCTGAAGCAGAAAAACAGCCTGAAAGTGAACCAGTGATTCCCTAAGTACAAAATTATTTCCAGGGTGCCCTTGTTTAAAGCATGCCTACTGCTTCAAAATGAACCCAGACAGACAGAGCAGCCACTTTGGAGGGCGGTGGGTTTTCCTGGCTTCCGTGTCAGCTGGTTTGTGTGGAGGAAGCACACCGGCCTTGGGATGGAGAGGACACAGAGATGTGGAGGGACTGGAGCTCACGAGCGTGGGCGCGGTGGTCCGGCCAGTTCCTCAGCTGCCGCAGCACAGCAACCACAGCAGAGCCCTCTTCCGTTCCCCACCTCGGCTCCTGGGCAGCGCGGGGACGTCACGGCCCGCATTCTCACGGGGACGGAATAGAGGTCCCGGGTGCGTCAGGGCCAGGCCCGACTCGAACTCGAGGGCTCTGGTCTCTAAAGGCCCTTTCATCTTAGCCTCAGATTCCATGGGCTAAGGTTCCCGGGAGCAGCACTTGGATTTCAATCTAATTTCTGAAGCTGGCTGACACTGCCAAGGCCACGGCCTCTGGGGACCTGGCTGGCAGGTGAGGCAGAAGCTGCTGGTGCCTCGCTGGGAGGGGGTCAGACCCAAGAGCCTCTCTGAGGGGGGTCAGAGAGGGCCCCAGACCCTCGCCTTCCTCACAGGGGCCTGGGGCTGATGATATATATTCACAGGGCACTGCCAGTGGTATGTGCTGAGGTTGCAGGAGCCTCTGTATGAATGCACGTATCTGGTTCCGAGTCCTGGAGCTTCCGGAAGTTTCTCAGATTAAGCTCCAAGCCCACAGTCCACCAAGTTGCCCTGACTCATCCTGGACTTGGGCCTCTGCAGAGGCTTGTCTCCATCCTCCACTGTCACCTGGAGACACACATTAGAGGGGACAGGATTTCTTCTTCAGAAATAACTTCAAATGCGAAACAAGCCCTCATGGAGGCAGTCCACTGTAAATACTGAGTCTTTCCAGAAATCAACGAGGCTTGTTGGGAAAATACAAATTAAGAAGCTTCAAGTACATTCTTCCAGGTATGGGCAACGAATTTCCTAAATTTGTTCTATTGAGTATGCCCTAACTAATACTCATTAAAAAAAAAACTATTAAAAACGAGTACACTAGTTTTCATGAAGAAAACCCATCTTTACGGAAAGAGGTATTTGAAATCGTTTTGAAAAGCAAAGTCATTTCGTCCCTTCAAGTCTTTCCCTGATGATCATTGCCAAGGTCACTCCAACAAGTCTCTCAACTAGAGAGCCTGGCCAGAGAACCTGGGAAAGAACGCATGTTGTCATGAATAACCCTTACTCCTCCCACCACCCCAATCACAGACCCTCCTGCCCCCCTATCTTTCCATGATTTTCTCCTGGGCTGGTCTTTCTTGGACCCTAAGACTCACAGCTTTCCACTTTCACTTCCGAGAGGGTTGAGAAGAAAGATGGGAACACAACGAGCCTGGGCAATCCGAATCAGGCTCACTAAGAAGGTTCTAGAAGCCCGTGCTGACTGAAGCTGAGTTCAAGCTGCTGGTTTTCAGGCAAAGAGGGCTCCATTTTCTGAGGTTCCGAAGGACAGTGTCATGTGTGGCACTTCTCCTCCCTGTGGCTCACCCCTCGAGTGTGCATCAGAGTCAAGTGCAAAGTCACCAATGAGCAAGCAAAGCTGGGCCTCTTCCCAGAGGAAGCATGCCGTCTGGATGCTGTCTAATCAGTGGAGGCTGGAATCAGGAAATACTCCCTTTATGCCCATGCTTGTGTCCCAGGACCAATTAGCTCTTGTTTGACTTGGAAGGGACCCTGTTTTCCAGTCCTTTGAGAGGAAAGGCCAGGAGTGAAGAGCAATGCTCAGTAGCCCAGTGT